GCAGCGTCATGGTCACTGGGGGATATTTTAGCACTGAGGCATTTTAGAAGCAGCCCAGGCCATGCCACCAGCTGGCATGAACTCACTCATTAAACACTTACTGAGGGCCTGCTCATGCCAGGAGCTGTGCGAGCTGCTGAGGTTTTGTGGTCACTATTTGGAGATGTGGAGTCCTTGGGGCCATAGCTGCACCCCAGTCCTGGTGGCTGGCGCAGGAGTCGCCTTAGGGCATTGTGTACAGGGTCCCACGTGAGGTCCCACGTGAGCCCAGAGCAAAGGCCTTCTGAGTCTGCCAAGGAGGCAGAGGCTTCCCAAAAGAGGTGGCACTGGAGATAAGCTGAATAGGGGCCTCTCGTGGCAGGCAGAGACCCTGTGAGGCCGTGCCAAGGACAGAGACCTGGGGACCAGAAACCAGGGCAAGGGGCGGGCTGGGCAAGCGGCAGAAGCCCTTCAGGAGACTGGCCCTGGGCTGTTCCAGATGCCTTGTGCCCGTCCTGCCTCCCACCAGGGCCACAGCATCTGGGGAAGGATGGATCTGATGTCCTCCCTCAGATCTTCACATCCCTGACACCCTACGAAATGGGAATCTGGGAGAGGCAACCCAAGAGCAGTGTAGCGGAATTCATGCACCCCTGCGGTGCTGGTTCCCGGGCCGCTTCGGAGCATGGCAGTGCCACAGGACACGCCCCACGTTCCACATTCCACCGTCTGCCGACAGATGAGTGTTTTCATCTCATTGAACAGCACATACTTTATTTCTCTTGGAGTCCTTTTGAGAAGCAGGACGATTTTCAAATTTGATTAAAACCTTGGAGAGAATCACAGGGAAGAGGTCACAGCAGCAGTGGCTAGTAGCAGACCGTATCACAGAGGCTGCGCGTATCTGGGCTTCACAGCTCTCCTCCATGAGAATCTCCTGGGTCTGGGTCAAGGGTGTGCCCAGAGCATGGTCAGCCTGGGTGGCTTTTGTGTGGAGCCTCTGAAGCAAGTTGGGGACCCAGGCTAGGATGTCCCTGGAGGTGTTTTCAGATTTGGGAATTTGTTTCATTTTTACACCTAGAGACAGCCTTTTTTTCTTTTTGTGAGCTCAGCTCGGGGCTTCACTCTATCACCCAGGCTGGAGCGCAGTGGTGCCATCACACCTCAATGCAGCCCCGAACTCCTGGGCTCCCGCCATTTTCCTGCCACAGCGTCCCAAGTAGCTGGGACGATAGGTGTGTACCATACCCAGCTAGTTTATTTTATTTTTTGGAGATGGGGTCTGACAATACTGCCCAGGCCTGAAGCATCCTCCCACCTCAGCCTCGCAAAGTGCCAGGATTATAAATGTGAACCACTGCACCCAGGCTAAATTTTTCATTATATTTTAGCCAACGTTTTTGATGTTTGTAGTGGATGAGTCTCTGAGTAGTCTGCCGTTTTGCCAGCACTACTATTTTTTTTTTAACACTTCGTTTTTATTTAACAAGATGGAATGCTCAGGAAGGTCATATAGTCTGAAGTCTGCAGGTTCTTTCAAAGAAATGGCGCTTAGCTTTGAAAATAACTTCTTCATCTCTGTTGTGTTCCAGAGTGATTGCACTTTACACAGTTACATAAAGAATGCAGGTATCAGGTTGGAGTTGCGTAATATGTACTACTAGTTGAAATAATTATAAACTGTTTTGTTTGTTTTTATGAATTCAGATCCCTTCCTTTGTGGCCCCAGTTTAAAACATATTTGGGCTTCTTTTTAGGAATGAGACTGACTGTCCAGGGCAGGACATGGGGTTTCCGTCCTTCCTGCTGAGGTGGGAGGCTTGAGACCTGACAGTAGCCAGTCAGTAGTGGGGTCGGTTCCGCCCAGCCCTCCCCAGAGCCAAGCACACAGTGGGCTGCGCTGTCTGCCCTGGAGTGCTGGCTTCACCCTGGCCCGTACACAGTAGCCTCATGGCTCCAGCAGGGAGTGGATGGAAGCAGCAGCTCCCCTCTTCCAGGGACGACGTTGTCTCTTACAGAAGCACGTGCTTATATTTGGATTCCTGATTTTGATAGGAAAGCCTGTGTTGGACTATCAGGTCAGTTCGTCGGTCCAGCACGTACTCTGTGCTCAGTGCAGAGGCTACAGAGACAGTGAAGACAGGACCTGCCCCTGCAGGACCTCAGAGACGGTGCCTGCCCTGCTGTCAGCCTCCTCCCATTGACCTCCAAGGGTTTCATCCTTGCCCCCGGCCTTTTCTCAGAGATGGTACTCAGATATTTCTGTGTAGACGATAATGTGGAGTACATTGAGCCCACTTATCTTATTTTGAAAATTTGGAGTATCGCTGTTTCTGTGTCATGGTGGTTGGTATATAACATGGAGCTAGAGAGCGACGGTTTAGGAGTTCATCGTGTCTAATTAATTTAAATAAGTCGCTGGCAGCTGGAGAATATGCCTACAGTACGTAGGAATTATGCTGCCTTGCCAATCTATGACGGAAAGGTCAAGAGAGTCTAAGTCGTACTTCTGAAATGTTTCTCTGCGTAGCATACATTACTGGAAACCATGGTTAAGCTTTCACTGTTTTTCAGTGTTACCGTTTCAAGGTGAATTAATTGAAAATGAAGATAAAAGTTCTTAATTAGAAAAATAATTTTGCCATCTCCTAATAAAGAGGAAATTAAATCTGTGTGTAGTCAGAACTACTTGCTTCTCTACAACAGGACTGGAAATTAAATTTCATAAGTAATCGTTGAATCTTCTACGATTCATGGTTCTGAACATTTAGCCCCAAAAAGGATAAATGTACAGGATTTTTAATTGTTAAGACAGCGTGCCACTGCCCTACAGATACCTGCATGTGTGCACAGAATAGGGGGGAAGATGGCGTACATCACTGTCTGTGATGGAAAGGTCCAGACGCAGACTCAGTGCCCCTGGAAACTTTTATTTACTGGATAAATTCCCGCACAGCCTGTGTTGCTGGGGCCGGGGGTTGACACCGGGGTTGCCAGGAGCACCTGCCTTACCGAGGGGGTAGTTTCCGGATTAACGTGTGAACGGAGGGAGCAGCGTGCCTGGAGAATGAAAGCTGATGTCAGCGCAGGCAGCTAGCCAGAGGCGTTTCCTCACATGTGCATTTAGGAGCATAGGTGGCCTTCGTGAGCCGTGTGAGCAAAGGGGTGACTGGTTGCCGCAAGAGAGGAGACTGTTCCCAACCTGCACATTTTGAAGTTAAGGAGACTATTAATTTGTCTAGAGAATATTACATCTGGTGGCTTTGAACATCCTCATGCTGTTCACTTTCCATCTGTCTTTGGATGTGTGTTGTGGCTTTGCCTGGTTCTTTTAAATTGCGTATTGCACAGACAACATTTTTGTATCAGAAAAATCTAGAAAACAGCATGGTTGGAAGTGAGCAGAAGCAAGGCTGCATCTTGCCGGGGGACAGGCTCTTGTGACTGTGTTGTGGACTCACGGACCAGTCTGTCGCTGGCCACGCTCACTCCCAGGCAATGTGTCTCCACAGCGACCGTGGCAGCCATGTATTACAGCTACTACATGCTACCGGATGGCACTTACTGCCTGGCGCCGCCCCCTCCCGGAATCGACGTGGCCACTTACTACAGCACCCTTCCTGCTGGTGTGACCGTGTCTAACTCCCCCGGAGTGACGACCACCGCCCCACCACCTCCTGGGACCACGCCACCGCCGCCCCCAACCACGGCGGAGACAAGCAGCGGGGCCACCTCCACAACCACCACCACAAGGTAGGCACAGGGTCCGCCGGTGCCTGCTGTGTGGGTCACTTAGCACTGCAGTCACTGGAGTCGTCTGTGTCTCCATGGGGGGCTTGTAATCTGGATCACATATAGGGGTCCCCATTATCTGAGTAGTTATTATTCCAAATCCCCAAGTTACAAAGTTGACAGGAAAACAGAAATGGTCGTAGCACAAACTTTTTAGCGTTGAAGTTAAACCTCTTATAAAGTTGAGTTCATTTCACGTTGCACGCTGGCCCCAGATCTCCAGCATCTGTTCTTGCGCTTTGTGTCAGAGTCTCAGTTGAGCTGTGCTAGGCAAAATCAGTATGCAGTGAAACTGCAGTTGTTTGCAAAACATGCAGGTTCGTAAACTTGAGGAAGGTGATGTTGGGGTGCTTCATGAGTCTCTCCGAAGCTGTTGGCCATTGCGGGGGCCTGGCAGCTACTTTAGTTAACCTGTGAAGCCATCGGCAGAGCCCTAGCTTCCCCAACAGCAAGGGCCCCCCGTGTTCGTGGGACGAGGAGGAGACAGGTGCTTTACCAGAGGGCCTGGAATGCCCGGCCTTGAAAGGAGGCTCTTGGGAAATGTAATAAAACACGGGAGTTTCTGTAAAAACGACTCTTTCTGGTCATGCTGAGCAAGTCAAACAGGAAATGAAGAAAGCTGAATCATGCTTGCTGACTTTTTTTTTAATATAACAGCAACAACAACAAAAACTTACTCTTGGTTATTTCTAAGAATTAGCTTGTGATTGGGGAGAAATGTTAATTACTAGGAAAAATGCACCTTTTATCACTAAAATCCCCATTTTCACTCGACAATAATCCTGTCTAGTTGACTTTAGTTTCTGTCGTATGCGTCACCTTCAACAAGAGCCTCCCCTGTGCACTGTAACTCACATGTCTCTCTGGACATCTGAGGCGGTGAGGACCTCCGAGCAGCCAGGACTGAGCTTGGCGAGCCCCTGAGGCCCAGGGGCCTCACAGACTCTTCTCCCACAGTGCACTTGCCCCCGTGGCCGCCATCATCCCCCCGCCCCCCGACGTCCAGCCTGTGATTGACAAGCTAGCCGAGTATGTCGCCAGGAACGGCCTGAAGTTCGAGACCAGTGTTCGTGCCAAGAATGATCAAAGGTCAGAAGAAGAATTTTGTATGTTAGGTATATGGCATTTGGGGATTTCGTTTAGCCTTTTTTAAAAAATGTAGGTACAGAATGAATTTTTTTTTATGTATTTTTAATCCTTTTCTTGGCTCAAATGTCTTTTTTGAGATGGAGTCTCGCTGTGTCACCCAGGCTGGAGTGCAGTGGCGTGATCTCGGCTCACTGCAACCTCTACCTCCTGGGCCCAAGCAATTCTCCTGTCTCAGCCTTCCAAGTAGCTGGGACTACAGGTGCGCACCACCACGCCTGGCTAATTTTTGTATTTTAGTAGAGACAGGGTTTCACTGTGTTGGCCAGGCTGGTCTCAAACTCCTGACCTCAAGTGATCCACTTGCCTCAGCCTTCCAAAGTGCTAGGATTACAGGCATGAGCCACCACACCCAACCAATGTCTTTAGATAAATACATTTTTTAATTGGCTTGTTAAATTGCTTAGACTTGGGGTGGTGTTTTTAAATTATGTTACCTGTTTTTTGTTTGTTTCATTTTTTAAGTAAGAATTTTGGGCCGGGCGCGGTGGCTCAAGCCTGTAATCCCAGCACTTTGGGAGGCCGAGACGGGCGGATCACGAGGTCAGGAGATCGAGACCATCCTGGCTAATACGGTGAAACCCCGTCTCTACTAAAAAATACAAAACACTAGCCGGGCGAGGTGGCGGGCGCCTGTAGTCCCAGCTACTTGGGAGGCTGAGGCAGGAGAATGGCGTAAACCTGGGAGTCAGAGCTTGCAGTGAGCTGAGATCCGGCCACTGCACTCCAGCCTGGGCGACAGAGCGAGACTCCATCTCAAAAAAAAAAAAAAAGAATTTTGAAGCTACCTAAAATAAAAGTCTATAATTCATGGTTTTCAAGAATCTGCCTTAAAAATCTAGACACAAACCCTTCTTTTTAAAAACCAAGTAATGTCCCATGCTTCAGTGCTAGTAAAGCCTAAAAATATGTTGCCAGTTTGCAGTGTGACCTGTGTAACCCCGGGCAAGCGATTTTGACCCCTTGTATGCCGTCTCCCTCGTCTATGAGTAGCTGTAATAGTAACCACCTTGTGGGGTTGTGGAGATCAGTAAAGAGCTAGGAGAACAGGGCCTGTTGTTACTTCAGTGTGCTTATGTTGGTAAATGACCCATTTTCTTTCTCCTTCTGCTCAGATTTGAATTCCTGCAGCCATGGCACCAGTATAATGCCTATTATGAGTTTAAGAAGCAGTTCTTCCTCCAGAAAGAAGGGGGCGATAGCACGCAGGTACGTGTCTGAACACAGGGAGGCCGTGAAGCTGTTACAGGTGGCTCTGCCTTCCAGATCAGAAGTCACTTTCTGTTTATTCTCCTACAGGTGAAAGGGCTGGGTGATTCTTCACCTTTCTTTAATGTGTGTCTGGCATACTCCATCTTTCACGTCCCCCTTAGCTCTGGAACTTGATCTATTGAAAACATCTGCCCACATTCACAGTACTGATGATTGTTTGTCCAGCACATTCTAAACAAAAAAAATCCTGTTCCTTCAGCTGTTCGATGTTTTGGCTGTCTACAGTTTTTAGCTACATTTCCTGACAGCCGGGTACCCTGCATGTGTTGTGTTAACATGTATGAAATATATAAAATATGGCCAGGTACGGTGGCTCATGCCTGTAATCCCAGCACTTTGGGAGGCCAAGGCGGACGGATCATGAGGTCAGGAGATCGAGACCATCCTGGCTAACATAGTGAAACCCCATCTCTGCTAAAAATACAAAAAATTAGCCAGGCGTGGCAGCAGATGCCTGCAGTCCCAGCTACTTGGGAGGCTGAGGCAGGAGAATGGCGTGAATCCCGGGGGGCGGAGCTTGCGGTGAGCAGAGATCATGCCACTGCACTCCAGCCTGGGCAACAGAGTGAGACTGTCTCAAAAAAGAATATATATATATATATATATGTGGGCGCCTCACACCTGGCCAGCAGCTGCTGCTGGGGGTGTCCTGCAGCATGGTCTCTGCCTGCTCCTGCACGTCCTTCCCCCTCACCAGGTCCCCGGCGTGGTGCTGGTGTCCTTGAAAGTGCTTTTTGTCCCGCAGCCCCGTCTTCTGCCTTTGCTCTGCTCTTCTCAGTTATACAGACACCCTGACATTTTTGTAAAGCCAGTTTTGGTGAAGAGATGACATGGACCTTGCTTCTCAGGAGATTTCTTCAGACCTTTATCTCTGATGGCATGGCCCACACTGAAAGAAACTGACTCCTCTGTAGGTGATGGGGATAATTTGGTATTTTTAAAGAATTCTCAGTAATCAGCGTCCAAAGAAAAGGTACCGAAGATTGGTTCCCAAGGCAGTATTAGGGCTTCAAAGAGTATAGTGTTTTTTCAGACAGGAGAAAATCTTCTGCTCCTCTTTGATACATTCTATTGTAAGAAAAAATAGCAGATCTGGATATGGAAGTCTATTCCCAGTGCTGCTTGGGCAGTAATGTACAGTTGCCGTTGTCCAGTGAAACATACATACTGTATACATCTCTCTTTTTTGAAAATGTCTGTATAATTTCTTGCTGACAGTTTATAGTGACATTTCATCTCTAGGCTGTGTCCGCACCGGAAGAGGCTCCCACAGACTCTGCTCCTGAGAAGCCGAGTGACACTGGGGAGGACGGCGCGCCTGAAGACACGGCCGAGGTGGGAGCACGGGCAGGCTCAGGCGGGAAGAAGGAGGCGTCGTCCAGTAAGACCGTCCCGGACGGGAAGCTGGTGAAAGGTACGCTGCCACTTGCATGTTGGCCTTGCACGTTCCACCGTAAGTCGGCAAGCGCAGGATCCTCGGCGACCTCACCTGCAGGCTGGGTTGGGGTTGGCGGCCCCCGCAGGTGGCTGCGGCGAAACCTCCGCCTTCTGCGCTGTGTTGTGCTTGCCTAGCGTGGCACTGGAGGTAACGTGGGTGTGAGCAGCCCTTAGGTATGTGTCTGTTTAACAGTCTGTTCACTGTACTGGACGTTTGCAGAAAGTTTCAAATAATCCTTCATACTCCCTGGGACTTCTGAAGCTATTTATATGCAAACTATTGTACCAATGAAATTCATTTACTTATTTGTCAAAGCAGGTTCCTTGAGAATCTCTGCCAGGCGATACTTCGCTCACTCGATTTCAGTTACTTTATTATGTTCTTGGAGGGAGACTTTCATGTCGCAGGACACACATGCACGTAAAAATAAAAAGCCAGTGCAATTAAAAAGCAGACAGAAGCAAAGGCCAGAGCAGGCGCCGTAGCCAGGAACCTCATGGAAGCCCGTGTGGAGCAGCGGTGGGCTCCCCCGCGGGAGGGAGGTTCTGTGGAGGAGAGGCGTTCAGCTGGTGTTGCGAGAGGAACGGGAGGCACCGAGGCGGGGGTGCAGCCCTAGGCAGGAGCCCCGTGGTGCGAGCTGCCCGGCCCTGTGCTGAGATGTGGTAGGTAGTCAGCAGTGACTGGGGGGTGGCTGGTGAAGGAGCCTTGGCCAGCTTGTCCAGGCGTGCCCTTTGCGGGAGGGGCCGGTACATCTGACAGGTTTCAGGTCAGCAGAATAACTTTATCCAGTCTGGTGACTTTGTGATGCAATTAAGCCACTGGAGCGACTTCAGAGATTTCTGGTGGCATTGGTGGCCTGGAATGGAGTGTGACAGGTGTGGCAGTGGGGCGAGGTGACAGCTCTTGGGTTAGAAGGAAGGGCCGAGTGGAGGCGAGAGATTGAGGAAGTAGGCTGGGGTGGTAAGAGGACCATTCTTTGCATAAAGATGCCTTGCTGTATGAGAATGGTGATCATTCAGCAAAACCAAATCCGTGTGGATGAACTGCTAACTAGGCCATTCACTATGTGTGTCTTTGGGCCTCTCATTCCAGGAGGTTACCTGAGCACAAATGATCCATCTCTCACCCTTCCCGGCCACCCACAGCCTCTCATTGGAATAACCAAAGGATTGTAATAAGTAGAGGATGAAACTGGTTATTGCTCTAGAAAGCAGGGGGAGGTACTGTCTGTATGTCAGGGTAAGGCAGCACACCTGGAGCTCGCAGAGAAGTGCCCTTGAGACTCAGGGCGGTGACCCCAGGGGAGTCGACCGTCAGCCACAGAGGGGTGGTCAGGAGGCTGGAACAAGCTGGGAGCATCCCAGAGGCAGCAGTCCCTCATCCGTTCTCACACCCCAGAAAGAAACCACAGCCCAAACCTGCCTCCTGCCCCAGGGTTTGTGAGCACAGGGAAGGCACCTGACCCCTGCCAGCTGTGGGGCTCGCAGAGGAGCAGCCCTGCACACAAGGCTGCTGCCAACCAGCATGGCCTTCTCCACACCTCCCTGATTGTCCTGGCACCTGGCAGACAAAACAGCACACCCAGAAGTTTCCCGTCTCCATCCACCCAAGCCTGAGACACTTGAACAGAGATCTACTCAGTATCTGACAAAACTCATGCTAACTCTCAGTTCTCAAAAGCACAGGCCAGCCTCTCTTTGAATAGATGCGGAGACAGAAATGTCATTGCGCCCACAGAGATTCCAAAGTTCGGAAGACACAGCTGAGCCTCCAGGCATATGGGCATCTCTGAAACAGACTGCGTAACAGGAGAAAAATCTTTGTCTCTAATTTGTATTCTACAAAACTGAAAATATAAAACTTGTGCTACTGATTATCAGACGTGGAAAAGATTGCTTAGAAATAAATTGCTGTGGAGTGTGGTGGCTCACGTCCATAATCCCAGCACACAAGAGAGGCCAGGGCAGGCAGATCGCTTGAGTCCAAGAGTTCGAGACCAGCCTGGGCAACATGACAAAACCCCGTCTCTGCTAAAATTACAAAAATGTAGCCAGGCATAGTGGCGCATGCCTGTAGCACCAGCTCCTCACAGAGGCTGTGAAGTGGGAGGATCACTTAAGCCTGGGAGGTAGAAACCAGCCTGGACAATATCGTGAGACCAAAAAAATTAAATTAACCAGGCTTGGTGGCACACATCTGTGCTCCCAGCTACTTGGAGGCTAAGGTGGGAGGATTGTTTGAGCCTGGGAGATGGAGGTTGCAGTGAGGCAAGACCACGCCACTGCGTTCCAGCGTGTGTGACAGAGGAAAAAAATTATAGGTATCTTTAAAGTATATGAAGAACATATATTATTTCAAATTTGAATGAATTTGAAAATCAGTGAAAAATATCATTTTCTAAGAAAACATGAGTTGCTGAAATTATTTCATAAATAAGGAACCGACATAGATCTATAGACCTGAAAGAATTTTGAAAATAATTGGTTAGTGAAATACCTCTAAACCCAGGCAGTCAGCCAAGACAAATTAAAGGTCAAGTTAATTCACCCTCAAGAAATAGAACGCCTACATCATTAAAGCCACTCCAGAGCATTAAGAAAGATGGAAAAGAATGAAGCTCTCAAAGCTTGGCAATCTGTAGACCACGATCACTTACAAATATAGATGTTAAGATATGAAACTGAATTCAGCTATGTATGAAAATAGTAGTAAGTTATGAGCAAGTAGGATTGTTCCAGGAATCCCAGTATGTCACAAAATGAGAAGTTCTAGTATAGTTTATCATATTAACAGATGAATGGCTTTCTCAGATGCTGAGAAAGCAGCAACATTCTCTCACATTTTTATGATGAAACTTCTTTAGTATAACAGTAATTGATGTTGGAAAAACAGGCTCTCCGTTTTGAAAAATAATAAGACATCACATATTTGACAACCATAATTCCATATAAATCCAGTATTTAAATGTAAAAAATAAAACTAGAAAAGTAGAAACATATAAAGGTAATTTTTTGAAATAATCTTGGAGCTGGAAAGAAGTGTCGAAGAACTGAAGCTGTAAATCATGGGGAAAGATTAGTAGGTCTAATGGGGGCTTGGCCTGAATAAAGTTAAAAGACAAATACAGAAATGGCAGTAATTGCTAACACATAAAAATGAAGGTTAACATCCTTACTATAGAAAGAGCTTTTATAAATCAATAAGAAAAGACAGTCACTGACCTAGAGAAATAGACAAAGGACATGAAAAGATGGTTCCAAAAAGAAGAAAAATCGATGGCCAGTAAATATATTTTTTCAATGTATCCTCATTAACAGGTTTTTATTTTTTGCCTCTCAAATTGATAAAGTTTTAAAAAAGTAACAATGATAGG